TAAAATTATTCTAAATTATTCTAAGCAAGAATTTAAAAATAAATTTTATATAAACTCTATAAGAGAGAAAGAGAAATAAAATTACCGGAAATGTTTGAACATCTAATTAAGAGTGTAGCTACCTTTTCCTGATCCTATAAATTATTGTCGCTTGACACAATTCTTTCTTATTAACGTGGAAATATAAAATTTCCTATTACTTGATTATTTCAAAAATTCAGATTCTCAATCGCGGAAAAAAAAATAAATTAAAAATATAAAAATCTATAGTGATAAAATTTAAAAAACAAAAAGTATTCACTGATGGTAGTTTAATAAATATTTATTTAAGAGACAACGATAAATTTATATATTGAAGAATGAACAGAAAAAGAATGGAAAGTATAAAAGTATGAAAAATGTTCTTGTCACTTGACATCGTTTGCGTTTTAGTCTATAATTAATCCTGGCTTGCAAAAAGAGTCCGCTGCAGATGTCGAGGACGGAAAGCACACAGCAGCAGTTTGTACAACCGCCTCCGCCGAGTTAAAGATTTTAATTTTGTGAACAATTCCACTGGATGAGACATCGCCGGTAATTAAGCGGCGGACCTCGGTAGAAAAACCTGGAAGTATCTCTCAGTTACTCTCACTCGAATCGAGTCTTCATTCTCCTAGCAAGCATGTATAGTATGCGAATATGCACAGACAAACGTTTACGAGCGATGTTACTAGCAACGTCCTGTCGGTGCAGTACTGCGTACGTCACTTTACTGTAATTACGAGCGAGCTTAATGCGTGCTGCGAATGATACCTATTTGCAAGCTCCGGTGGTACATTACGTCGGATACCTTTCGACGTGCGCGCGCGCGTGTAATACACATATATTGACTCCTCGTATTATATAATGCGACTAAAGTCCAAAACACTGCCTGTCTGCGTCGATATTTTCAAATCGGCTGTACGCAGCCTGGGATTGGAGAACGTAGAAATGCGATTAAACTTGATTTTCCGGGCTTTTAATTAACAATCCGGTGGAAAACTCGTTTCGTCGATACGTCGCGCTGCAAAAACACTTTTGCTATATTTATAAATACAGAGTTTAAAATAAATGTTGTAAATACATAATCTATCCATTTCCTGTACAAAACGCATTAATGTCAATTGCAAAAGTATTCATGATATGTATATATAACAGAAACTGATATGATTAATTTAATAAGTAGGAGATAACAAAATATCCAATGATTCCTTATTTATATAAAAAATTTAATAATAAAAAATGTAATATATAATTTATACACAAAAAAGAGGCTAATATTTGTCTTTAAATAATTGAAAGAAATGCTTTTAAATGGATCACTGAGGTATCTGAACATATTTAATACATAATAAAAAGCGGAAAACAAACGCTCATAAGAGACTTAATCAAGAGTAATAAAAAAAAGTGCTAGTGAGCCGAATAGTGAGTTAGTTCTTAGAGCGCTTAGCTGTAAATATACATATAATTCAAATTATTAAAAAATTAAACTTATAAAAACGTGCACAAAATATTCATTTCGATCACTAGAAATATATATTACTACATTAATTGTTATCATTAAAACTAACTCAGGTTTCCCTAATTTTCTTTTAATTATAAAATTTTAGAACTATATATTTCGTAATTTTCTTAAGTAAAATGCTATGCTGCACTTTTTTTACAGTGCATTATCTAAATAAATTTAGAAGATATTCTATAGTGCTCTGGAATAATTTTCATGCCGAGAAAGCAAGCTTGGTTTATAGTGCAGACTAAGTAATGTAAGTTTAGGGGATATATCATATATGTGGGGATGAATAATGTTCACTGTGCACCTCCGCCTATATGACATCGACGAGTTTACTACCGTGCATGTTATCGCCGACGAAGCTGCAACTGCCACTGTTGCATATGTTTGAAAATTTCTCCTCATAACGTGATATATTGCACGATCGCACGCAATGAATAGATTAAAAAGGCAATATAATAATATTGCCGTCTGTCATTTATGCATAATTTCAAACGTCTATGCATAATTTTATTCAAACAAATTGTATGTTTGAATCGTAAATTTCAATACTGGGTGATAAAAAAAGTTCGAACATATGAGGTTTTGTATATTTATAAAATCCAAATAGCAAGCTACGTTACTTGTCATCATTTTCCGATTAAAATGACATTAAAAACATAAAATAACGTTATATTTGACGTCAACTAATGTGTTAGTTATATCTTATTAAATATCAAAGTAAAGACTTGCAGCAAAAGCTTTTCATTGGTTAATGAACTAAATACTACTTCATTAGCTGCCTCGAGAATTTATCTATAGAAAGTTGCATAACTATTGTTCGTGCGTTTCCAAAGCACTTCCAAGTTAAAGCCATTTTGAATATTAATTGTTATTTTTGGTATTTAATAAGATATAATTAACACTCTAGAGTTTGCTTTTTGAAAATATACTAATAATTTAATAGATTTTGTGAATGATATATAAAATATTGTGAATAAACTTACTGTAGATTATTTTATAGAAAATAAAATTCTTTCCGCGTTATCCTTTCTCACAACTCGCAGATATGAAAATGAAAAAAAATTGATTATTGATTAAAGGGAGAAATATTTTCTAAAAGAAAAAAAAAAAACATTGAAATATTATAGTTTTCTTTAAAAATTCCTAAACATCTTATTTTTAAATTATTTCAACTCTTAGATAAAACTACCCTCTTAAATATGCTATGCGATATTTTATAATGTCAATTAACGTTTATGCTCTCAGCAGTTTCAATATTGTATCTTTCAATAGACTCTAAAATGTCGCAATGTCACCACGTGTGTTAGAAACGGAAGCTCGAAGCGCGCATATAGATATATCTGTTAAATTTCTCATTTTATGCGTCAAGGAATTTTGCCGTAAATCGCGGCTTATCGAGTTTAGTCTTCGACGTAGAAATGCATTTATTCAGGTCGGCGCGACTGCTTGCCAACGAGATGGACGAAACCATGTAGAAACTTTCCTTCTGCTCAGCGGTTGATGATATTTCCGGAATTGAGAATATCTGGCTTGGTATTATCGTCCTGCCGGCAAATAGGACGTGGAAACTTTGAACATGTTACAGGACGGTACAATTTTTGAGCTGTGCGCACGTCCAACGAAACGTTCGTCCGGTTGTTTCGTTTCAATTGTGTTCGTGGTGAGTGTATTTAGCAGTTTTGGTAATAACAACCTGCGCCAGACGCGAACGTTGTATTTGTTCGAACGAACGTGACTTTACGGCGGCGCTTTAATTATGGAGATTATTACCTGCCGGTCGGACATTAGCTAAAATTTATGAGATTAACGTACATCCGCCAAATTAGCTGTTGTTCATCATCTGCTGGACAATTTGAAGTTTGCGAGATGATGGGTACCGTCACATCAATTAACGTTATGAACAAACAATTTGTAAATTATTCACCGAATAAAAAGATTTAAAGAGATAAATTTAATACAAACTTCTATGAGAGAAATAGAGAGATGAAATTAAGTACACACATAAAATAAAGTTGAAAAGTGTTAGGATATTTAGATAGCTATTTTTCTCTTTTTATGGCTTTACAAATTATTATCATTTCTTTGCTATATGCGTGGAAACATGTAAAATTATTTGATCAAATTGAAAATAATTTTTGGTTGTTGAAAAAGATAAAGTTAAAATATAAAAATTAAATAATCAAATAAAAATTTAAATATTATGTAATTTATAATATCTCATATAAATATAAAAATTTCTTGAGATATAACGAAGAAATTACAGTATAAGTTGCAGTGGAGTGCTTTAATAAAATATAAAATTCTTTTATTGCATTTGTTATTGATTCACTAAAATAATTTGATTTAATTAAAGTATCGCTCTTATTTAGAGGTTTCATTTAGTTTAAATATCGAATGACATTTGCAGATCAGTAAAGCGAAAGTACTTTCAAGTGCGTACTGCATTAACAAACAGTAGGTACCTTCCCTCGCCGAACCCTCTTATCCCATTGTTTGCACAAGCGAGGGTGCGCACGCGAAATGGGAAGCTCCGGAAAAGTGATCGCGGAAAGATGCTCGGTCTCGCACGTGGATTTCATTGTTTTCTTTTGCGTTATATATCTGCCGCGATGTCCCCGTGAAAATTCAGCGAGCGTGGAATCGTGGTACGTCAAAGTGTACGTCTGCTTCTGTCGACATCGTTCAGCTCGACTATTACTCATTCAATACTGCTCGGAAACGGTAACCGCGCTTTTAAAGTGAAATGAAAGCGTGGTATACTGTTCTGTTTGACAGGAAGTTGAATTTATGGGCAAAATCACCGGGCTGTCTTATCGCAAAACGTAAAAATAATCCGAAAAATTATCTATATTTTGTATCTTATTTATTAACGCATTGAAGACTTAAAATCGCAGGAGTATATTTTAGCGAAAAGTACAATTGAAATATTTCATTGAAGCTCATAAAATGACAAGCTCATAAAGTTCTAAAGAGAAAGCAAACTTTTTATTAATTAAACGCAAAATAAAGTTAGTTTATTTATTTTTTACATTTAATTTTCAAGACACAAGAAAGCTAAGATTTTAGTATCAAAACTTCAAAGTAAATTTCTAACATTAAAAGAAGACTAAGTATTAAACAAAAGAATTCCAAGAAAAGGTGAAGAAAGAAGCATGTGATGAGTGTCTGCTGACTTTCCTAATTTAAAGTAGCATAATACAATTTACGATTAAGTTCGGATCTTTGAATTACTTAAGAAAGTTTAGACTCTTTTTTATATTACACGGATATTTGCGCGTAACATTGATGGTTTGTCTAATGTAATGAAAAATGATAAAAACTCGACAGAATACTATTTATTTTATATTTTTTTCTTTTTATATACTCTTATTATTTTACTTATTTAATTTTTTTTTAAAGAGAATCATATGTCCCCCCTTTAAGCGTAGAAGAAGCGTAACGAGTAGCAATGCAGAGACATTTATATTACCTTTTGGCAGAAATCCAGCGTGTATTAGCCTCGCTTCCATGAGCAGAGAGGGTAGGAGGAAGCACATGGCCGTGCAGAGATGCACGAAGGTCGCCGTAGGGCCACCGTGTCTCCATAAATTATTCACCAGACCTAAAAAAAAAGTAGTTATCACCCTGCTCAGCGTCTTCCCCGAAGTTATACATTTTAATTAAGATCAATCAGTCATCTTTAAAACGTAAAACAGATGTTAGTTTTTTTTATCCTATTCAACCTTTTTTATGGTGTTATTACATAAATTTATTATTTTTCAATTGTATCAATCGATAGATTTTATATGCTGTACCGTAAAGGAAAATTTCTGAAAACTTTCGAATAGTTAGACTTGCATCGAACCTATTAAATTTTGATTAAGTCATCTCGCTCTCAAACTTTCAAATTAGTAATATAATATTATACATATATAGCGAGAAATATATAGTATCTCAGATTTATCGCACCTTTACTATTTTTTTTATACACTATTTTCGTATATACATATATTTGATATATAATCATAAAATAAAAGTATTATGTAAATATAAAATAGTTAAAGATCCAGATATCCATTTACAGTGTAATTAAATAATAAAAATTCCAAATTTTATTAAAATTTTCAATTCAAATAAAAATAAGTTAAGACAGCTATTGCAGATTATTTCAAGTTTTAAATAAAATAATTAATTATTGTATAATTTTAAACTCTACAGTAAATCATCTACTTTTTTGTATTCATAAAGTACTTATTTTGTACTTTGAAATTAAGGTTTGCTTACTGTTATCAGGATTATTAGTGAGAAGCGAAGATGGAGGGTCGCGCGAGCAAGCGCTCAAATGTCGGCCTAGTTTTATTCCATCGTTTGCCAAATTGCCGAGCTTCAAGAAGGCCGCACCAAGTAGCACCGGAAGTAGCACGACTCCGGTACCGGCTAGCACCAGGCAGGCATACAATTCAATTTTAGGAGGTGGCGCGTCCGCTGGCCATGGTAATGACAAGTAGGCTAAAGGAATGATATAAAGACACGCAAATTAAACATATTAAAATAAGAATAAAAGATTTATATACTTAATATATTTAAGAAGAACGCGAATTATTGATGTATTAAAAACCGAATTAATCTGCTGAACTGAAAATCTTGGCTTTTTTTAGATTTAAAATTTTATTTTGTGTTTTTTTCTTACATTAATTACGAAATATTGTATCAATCACTTTGATTGTTTTTGTGAAAAAATATAATTTCTTTTTTATTTTAAATTAAGATTAGCTTCTGTTTCAAATCTAATTACGATAAAAGTTTTTTTTCGAAGGAAAGATAATCTCACTTTATAGGGCAATTAAACTAGTTTCTTGATATTGCGAGTGATTAAACGAAAAGGGATAATGAAGAAAAGGAAAATCATTCGTTATTCCTAAATTTATAGTCGATTAAAGAATTATCAAGAAGCACAACATTAACATCCTGTAAATAGGATGTTAATTCATTTACAATTTCTTGAATTTACAATCTATGTACTTAAACTAACAATTCTCTGATTTTCTGTTAATCCTATCGAAATGAATAGGATTAAGATCTCTTCTTGGTTCGGAAAGAGATAGACAGCATGAAAAATTTCGTTGGCAATTCCGTCTCTACCGTGTGTCTTTTACGTAACGATCTCCGGTAACGGAAGCCTCGTACCAGCTGCCAAGAGAAGAAATTTACGTAAAACCGCCGCCGGAAACAGCCGGAAAATAAGGAAAGGCAACGAACCATTCGGGACCTTGCCCAGAAGTTTTACTGATTAAAGTAACAAATGAAAGGGGAAAAGAAGACCTTCGAAGTCGCTAAAGTAATTTCATAATCATCACATTGTTCTTTTTATATAATATTTCATAAAATATTCATTAAAGTTATATATCAAATAATTCTGCAGATGTAAAACAGTTGTACAATCTTATGTTGATAACAAAAAAAGTCGAAAGAGGAGGTCCTATCGAAGATTTTATAGTACACATTGAGAGATTATTAGATTCGATTCAGTTGTGTGTGACAGTAAAAAAAATAAAATAGGTGATTCATTTGAAGACGAAATCACTAGTCCAAAAGAAGATTTTCAGATAATCCAATGTTGTTAATGTGATCGATCCCGTAGAGAGGTGTATTTTAGCGGATTAAAACGAGGTAGAGCTATCTTACCGGCGAATCGTCTGGCGTATCTCATTGCAATGTACGCTTGAAAAGCGACAGCTACGATGCCGTACCAGACGGACCAGAGGCTGTTCACATGACCGCGTATACACGATTCTTTTCTCGTAGATTTTCGTACCCTCTTCGATTTGCCCGTGGTCGTGGTAACGCCACCGGAGCTTATGCTCGATACAACCGGCAACGGCTTCAACGGCTTTTTACACTTGGCCTGGTTCACATCGTTATTGTTTTCGTATCCCATTAAGCTCCCAGTCATCGACATTTTGTTCTGAAACATACAATTAAGAGCCGTGCACTTAATGTAATCTAATCTAATAAAAATATATAACGTCTATATTAAATTAGAACACAATTTCAATGTACATTCAGTTTATTTAAAAAAAAAAATGTTCGTATACGTTTCAATTCTCGCTTTAGGCCCTCCTCTCAGTATACAAAATTATATCTTAAACACTAATAATACGTTAAAACATTAGCAAAGCAGTTTCGTAAATTTCTAAGAAATTTAGACAATCTTTATTCTAAACAAGAATTGAAAAGTATATGAATGCTTTTTAATAAAATTGATTTAATGTTGAGAGAGAGAGAGAGAGAGAGAGAGAGAGAGAGAGAGAGAGAGAGAGAGAACAAATTGTTTTATATAGCTCTGATAAGTTTTTATAGATTCATTTATTATAGTCTGAATTTGATTATTTGAGTAACCTAAGGCCGGCCACACGGGTTCGAGCAAATTTGTCAAATATACTCGCGCAAGCTGCCTGTGCAAATTTATTTGAACGTGTCAGAAAACTGTACAATCCAATAAGAAATGACAATGGAATCGATGTCAACTTGACGTCAATTCGATGTCGATTCCATTGTCATTTCTCACTGGGAAATATTTTACTTGCACAAATGATTGTTCTGACACACTATATGTTCAAATTTTGCACAAGCAGCTTGCGTAAGCATGTTTAACAAATTTGCTTGAACGTATGTGGCCGGCATAATATTTATGAATATCATGCAATGTGTGTGTGTGTGTGTGTGTATGTACTGTAAAAAAGTCCATAATATACAATACATATATTTTACATATATATATTTGTATTATAAACTTTTTTATCATTATTGAATTTTCAAATTTAACACTTTTTTTACAAGCTTTAACAACTCGTGATAGAGGTGAGAATAAATTTTATAGACATCTTGTATATATAATTAATTAATCACAACTCAAATAAGGTTTTTTTTTCGTATAATAAAAATATCTCTGCTATTTAATATTTTTTAACAGCAACTAACGGTTTAATAACAATTGTATGATTTTCCAGCAAAAGTTTGTTATTCTTTTGTAAAAGCTTTTTATTTGTAACGTCAAATTAAATAAACATAACAAACTTCACACACAAATAAAAATTGTGTTAAAATAATTAACATAATATTAAATAAAGAAGTTTTCTTTCAATTACTTATAAGACTTATGCAGCTTAACATGATCATGAAAATTAACATTTAATTAAATGCATAAAATAACAATTTTTAATGTTTAATAAAATTGGGATTACAATACTCTGAATATAAGCAGCTTAAATAAAGCAGCTTAAATGAACTACGATTAACTGTTCGATAATATTTTTATGATTTATCGATCAAATTCTTTGTACTTTCAATCGCATTTCAATCTTCGTTAATAATAATTATTCGAACGATGACTTTCTCTTGAACGACCCGAGTCATTTTCATTTTGCTCGACTACGCAAGAGTTTCAATGTGCTCCGACGGTTTATCTCTTGTGCGCCATTGAACCCTCTTGGGAAGTTCTTTTTTCTCGTTGTATCTTTTCCTGCGCTAAAGAGAGTGCAATTCGCGCTTCTTTCTCTTTTCTCTCAGTATTTCATAGTCACGTTGTGCGGAAGCGAGGAAAGTCGCGGATGTGGTTATGCTAAAATATTAGGATAGTACAAAGCTTTATATTTTTTATTTTTAATGTTAAAAGCAAAACTAAATTTGGAATAATTCTTTTCCGTATAGTCTGTGAATAAATTTTTATTCCTTACATATAGAACGTTGCAAGGATTTGTTACATGTTGAAATTTTCAACGCTTCTTATTGTCTTATATATAGTATTATCACTCTTCGTAACATTCCTGAGAAATTAATTTTCATAAATGTCCAAGTAAACTACTATATCGATTTTTTCCGTACAAAAACTTAATTAATTATAACTTGCAATAACTCTTTAATTAAGGGTAATTAATTAAAGGTAAGAAATAATGTTTCTCAGCGTGTTATATTGTTTTATATTATTAACATATTGATTTTAATTAAGTGGACCGTGTTGCGTTTGTAAAATGAAGTGCCATTTGTCTCGTCAAAACGTGAGGTCAGAGTAATTAAAATTAAATTCGCATAGTTTTCAGTTTAGGACTTACAATTTGTTAGTGGTGGAGAGCATTGGGCAGGCCTATACCTGTTCGATTTCAAGAAAGGTTCGGGTTTTCAACCCCTCGCGCTTGACTTCTCCGAGTCTGGGGGTTGTAAAGTGCAAAGTTTTATGATCGTTTTCGTTGGATTCGTTCCGCGATAAAATTTCAAGGAGGGAACGACGGGAGACGGTGCGTGCGAAGAAGCACGTGCGTGACCGTATCAGGGACTTGAGGCATGTATTCGCCTTCCTGTTTCACGATCTGAAAATTTATGGTTCCCCCGCGTACAACCAGCCACGAAATCCTCGTTCCACAATGGCGGACCTTTCCTTCTGCTTCCTCTATCCTTCGCGAGCATATTCGATATCTGAATGGTTTCTAACGATGATGGTTATTATATAAAGTAGAGATATGAATGAATAAGCTGACACATAAATGACATACAAAATTATTTTAAAGCGCGTTATACAATAGCAATCTGTCTAATATATATAGGTAATAATGAAATCTCTTATGAATATCGTATGAAATATAGTAAATATAAAAAGTACATTTTGTTCTGGTATACACAAAGGATTCGCGTATTCATAATCTAAGAAACTAAATTTTTCAGCTATATGAATACTTTTTATGCGTCTAAATATTATAATAAAACTTTTCATTTTTGCTTTTTTTTAAAATAACATATTTTAATTATTATATATTTTTTAGATAAATAATTTCAAAAAACATGTAATATATTTTATTCTTTGTTAATAAATTGCTAATTAATGTTAACTTTTAAAAAATAAAATTTTCTTTAAATATCCTTCTCGTACGAATACTTATTTTTACACTCACTATAAACATTTTTTGGAAGATCCTGTGGATAATTGTAGCGTGATTCTAAAGCATGAACAGTGCTATCTGTATGGAGATCCGTAAGCAAGAATTTTCATGCTTTTCACCTGCTCGTCGAGTCACTCTTACGCGGAAAGTGGAAATATTAATTAGCATCCAGACGAATCCACATTACACGGTAGCATCAAAGGAAATGTCAAAAGAGTTGAGTTTTGTATATAGAGACTCCTTATATCCAAAAATTTACAACAGCGTGCTTGAATAAAATAATCGATAAAATGTTCTTATAAAATGTATTGTGAAATTAATTTAAGTGGCATCTAATTTGGAAAAGAGACTTTAATTAACTCTTTTACCACACATTACTCCATAATTTAAGGATTATTAAAAGAAACCTTAATAAATATCTTGAAAAATTACGAACATCTAAAGGAAAAGTTAAATGAAATCAACGATTCTTTACAAATCTATCTATTATAGAAGCTTTTTTAAAAGATATTTTAGTTAATTAAACTGCAATAATTAACTTTCATATCATTAATATGAATTATAATTTTAAACAAAAAATAAAACTCTTATCTTTCTACCTATCGCCATGGAGAAATGTCAAATTGAGTTTTTTGTTACTGTTTAAAATTATAATTTATATTGTAATACAATGTTAATTATTGTAGTTTAAAGAGTCAATATATTTTAAATATTATAAAACTTTTATTAATAATTAAATATTTAATCGGCTTTTTTAAACATTTTCTTATATATTTGCAATTCTCATATTTTCCTCTATTAAAAACATCAAAAACAAGTAATTTTAAACGTAAAGATTTTATTTTAAATAGTATGTGCTTTTCTGTAGTCAGGTGTGTAGTGCGGCACTAAATATATATCGGACTATCGCTGGATGTAAGAGATAAGTGGCCATCACTATTCTAATACATATAATAATATGCTGCAATCGTATCGTCCATGTTTACCTCGTATTCGCAATACCTCAACTCTTCCCTACACACATTTTCAAATATTGAAATATACATACGTTTTATATTTTCGTAGAATAGCACGAAGAAAATATAATTATTGAAAGTCATTAAAAAAATGGACTATAATTGTACATAAAACATGTATTATCGAATTAATTAGGATAGTTAAGAAACTTTACCAACGTTTTCTACTTTAAATATTCAGTAAAATATTGGCTCTTTAACTTCTGCGGTATTATCAAAGTGATAGAAGCCGCTTAAAATTAGCTTTTATGCTTGAAGGATTATACTTGAAAGTCGCTCGCAGATTTTGAAAATCTTTCGCTAAGTCCACTGAATCGTCGTGGAAGCGTAAAATCCTCGTGCATTCGGCTAAAACTTTCGTTCAAGTACAGAGCCTATAGTCGAATGGACGATAAAAAAATCTGAAATTAATAGAATTTGTAATTGTTTTATTTAGTATTTATTTAGTAATCAGTATCAGTATCAGTATTTATATTATTATTTGTATTATTATTAATATTTGTAATATTATGTTGAAATGTTGCAGATAAAATTTACTTGTTTTTTCCCGTAGAATCTAAATATGTAACATTTTACAGGGATCCCATTTGAAACTTTGATGTTACCCCCTGCCCCTCTTCAAGGGGGGGGGGATGGATTTTTGTTTACGTAGTTAAAAAGATCCCACGAATATATGAAACTTTCTCATGAACAACTTTTTGATAGGACAAATATTTTTAGAATTATTAGCTTGTAACATCAAAGTAGGCTACTCTATGCATATACCATATATTTTTTATATATATATATATATATATATATGTATATATCTACGTATATAAGATTTATATATATATATGTACATAAATTTTTTATTTACAAAATGTTGCTCGTCTTTTATGTTTTGTACTGTTTATATGTGAGTCTCATAGAATCCAATTATAGCGTGTCGATTTACTACTTGACTTTGCAGTGAAAACTTCACATAAAAACTTTTTAAGTGAAGATTTAATCGATTGGTCGATGGGGTAGGTAATTTAGATTCTCTTCGAGCATGAAATCGATATTTAAGTTACCAGAACTTACCAGATTTCTGTCGAGTCTTCTAAAGTCTCGAGTACGCTTCTCCACTGTAACCAACTCGAAGATGTAGCATCTTTGGCGGTAGCAGCGCCTGAAACATATAGTAACAGAAGGACATTTAGCAAAATTTCATTAATAAACTAAAATAAAATGACAGTATATAAGAATATCAAAGATCATAATAAAAATAAAATACTGTAAGAATATTGTATTTCATCAAGATATTTAAGAGTTAATAAGAGATTCGTCACGAAACTTGTACGAGAATAATTCAAATCATTATGCATGATCTTCTGTCCTCATGTTCACACTGACATTTATATTTACACGTAAACACATATTAATTCTCATACTATATTTACATTGCAAGTACATAGACGACTAGCGGCTTCATTAATCAGATTGTCTTCGTGATGTTGTTTGCACGGGATTAGATAATATTTGCCGGCCGGTTCTGTTTATTCTGGAGCAAGAATGCTCGAGGAGAGTCGACGTGATTCGCACGAATCCTTTGTTGATCAATAAAATTTGGTGCTTACATAAGCCGGATAATGAGCTTGTACCCGCTTGGACAGAGGCTGCGTTAATTACACCCCATATGCCCGCATTTATGGCTACGTACGGTTTACATAACTCGTACTTCGCATTTGCTTTTATTGTGCTCCAAATGAGTTGCTTTGTGCACATATCACGGCGTGCATTATCGTAAATGCGTCTTAAAATTCGCCGCATACGAAAGCGTAGCGTGGATTTTAAAATAACGTATTGAGCCCCATCTCTCGTACAAAGCATAATTGACCGTATAAAATCTTTTTAATCCTTCCGTAAATTACCGTTACGAACACAGAGAAGGATTTATGCTTCCCGTTCCTTTCTATTAAACGACATAAAGATGACAAATGTGCAAGTCACTTTCAAGTATTTTTTTTCACGACAAAATTAATCTCTGAAATTTATAAATAATTTTCAAGACTATACTTTCAATTGTTTTTAAAAACGAAGAATGCATAGAGAACAATAAAATTAGTCTTTATTCGTACAATTATTACAAAATACTATCTTTTAAATTACCCGGCATTCAACGATTTTGGTTTTATTATTACAATATGATTTAATGTCTCCATCTTTCTCTCTTTCTTTTTTTTCATTGACCATACGATCGATTTCGCAAAAGAAAAGAAAAATAACATAGTGCTATTAGTCTGATTACGGTTTCGTATTACTTGGTTTGAGTACCACCTGAGCTTTTCTAGGATGGCATTTGGCCATTGTATGCTCTGGTAAGCTTGGGTCGAGGAAGGTATAAGCTGGTATAGGTGGTATAAGAAGGCAAAACCACGAGTTCATTAATTTTACCCCTCAAGGCAAACCTCGAGCCACACAAAGCATGCCCGTACATTAACACAGTGCACAATACGAATAAATATGCAAAGTGGTGAGCGAGCTTTGAAGATATACATTATGCAATAACAATTCTATTCGAGTATCTACAGTAGGAATCATTTTTAGTCATATTTTGGAGGAGGGAAGCGTTTCATACTGCGTTAATTAATTAAATCAATCAAGCTTGCGCCGAATTAATTCCACAAAATGATGGCATTTAGTACAAGTTCGCTATTATACCGATACAATAAAAGAAGATATATTATGCATAATTCATGGAAGTATGAAAAGAGCTAATCCGTCTCATTAACCAACTATTTATTTCATAATTATTATAATTACTACTATTACAATTCCATTGTCGACATTATAATAAAATTATATTAATAATCATAAAATATTATCTATATCCTGCCTACATAAAGAATACATGGAATAGATGTACATACATAGATATATTTGACGTAATGTATAATAGTATCATTACTATTCACACACGTTTCTCTCTAATTTTCCATATTTATAGAAGATTTATATATCAACTAGATGTATACAGGGTGTCCGGAATATAAATGTCAAAACTTTGGGAGTATGTAGGGGATTAATAAACTAAGAAAAGAGTTCTGTAAAGATATGCTCGTTTTAGAGAAAAAGATAAAATTTTTTCCATAGCTTTGACATTTAAATTCGGCATACCCTGACTTTTCTCCATTTTCATTATGCAATACTAAAATATGTGTATCTGTGTGTATGTTTTGAATAACAGTCTTGAAATAACGATTTTTTGGATGTAGATTCTGAACAAAACATTAAATTACTCCAGTAGAATCATATATGCTAAATATTATATATTAATATTAATCGACTTATAATATTTATACCATAGTAGAGATCCTATCAGTACTTATATATAATCAACGGCATAAGAAAATCAAGCGAGAGTAAAAATATTATTCAATAAGTATAGTAACGGCAACCAATTCACGATATTTATTAATCATGCAGGAAATTATCATGACTCTTCAAGTTCCAGCCTCCGCAAAATTTTTGCGTATCGCAAGTCCGAACGCGCCGGTAATTACATCACTCGCAATAAATCAAGACTGCGCGCCGCTTGGCATTAATTATCCGTCACCATGTAACTGAACGGTGCAGCACGCACAGAGTGGCAAAAACTTTCTTCCACGGCGAGAAGAATGCCTACTCCAATAAAATGCTCGCACGGCGCTGATTTATTAGCCGTGGCTTCCGTCACACCATGCGTTGCAGATACTGGTATAGATCCGGCAATCATCAAAATGAAAATAGAAAGTTTTATTGAGGACATTATAGTGTGTAATAAAGAAACTGTACATTTGTCTGTTTCGCGCGTAAATCATTACATAACGGAAGGTGTTTTTAATGCAAAAAAAACATTGCTGTTTATATCTGTAGAATAACTTTTATAAAAATTAATTTTGTTACAGGAGAGAGAGAGAGAGAGAGAGAGAGAGAGAGAGAGAGAGAGAGAGAGAGAAGATTTCTGTTTCTATTTTAGAAAATTTTCTATAAAAATATATTTTCTCGATATTGCTCTTTTACCTCAAAGGTGATTTAAATAAGAAAACATGATTTTTGAGATATTACCAAAAATCTATTAAGTAAATAAAATTATCCTATTAATAATCTCAAAAGTAAACTAACTTAGTTTTATAAAAAAAATCTTTGAAATAATTACGATTGCAAAAGGATGGTTTTTAAAAAATCGTCAAAATCATCACAACTCCAAATGGTAATATTTTTTAAGGATTGTAAAACAAAATAAGTGACATAAATAATATTTAATCATATTAAGCATATTGTTTACATTATTTGATTAGTTAATAATTTTCTGTCAAATTAAATAATAGTGCTTCTCTTTTTCTGGAAAACTTAATTTTTTTTGATTATTGGATATAATTATAACCGTAAGTCAAATTACATTTGTCAGTATTATAATATTGATTATTGGCGTCAGTGAGTTCAATCGTTCGCGTAACAAATAAAGAGGTTATCTTTTATAATACCAATCAATCTACACATTTATCATCCAATAAATATCGCTTTCAATTAATAACCGCTTGTAATGCAACTCAGAAACATTTGTTCTCTTGAACATTGTGAAATTGTGATATGAAACATTTAATCTCTCACTTTCATACACGATGTTATTAATAATTTTAAAACGCCAGTTGCAGTCGATATGAAAATCGGCGATTGTCAGGATGAAAATGGTATTGTCTCATTATAATATTAAACTAATTCGGCAGATAACATTTATTTACCGCGTGTAAGTTATAAACTCTGTACTCAAAAGTTTAATTCGTATGCGTAGTGCAATCTGTTGTAAATAAAGTTTAAATACTGATAAAATAATCCCCTGGGAATGGTTTATGATGCACAACTATAACGGTAAAGCGCGACATGTCCCCGAGTTAACGCAAAGATTGCAAAAAGAAGATTATTCATGTATGTTTTTGCATATAACAGTAAACTGACGCTTGTCAGCAATATTGTAAAAAGCACGAAAACACAATTATTTATTATAATTATTGTATTTATTATTGTATATAAATAATCGCTATTTTTGTATATAATATAATAGTTAAAAAGTGATTTGAGGCCGAGTTTAACGAAGAACGCCCGAAATGAAACATATTGTACGCCAAGATGTACTCGGGAAATCCTATTATCTCGTTGGAAAAACTGAAGATTCGAAAAACGTGAGGTCAAGATGGATTTCAGACTTCAGTAATTTTGCCGAGTTTGCGGCTTTCTTCCAGAAACTAACATCTTTTTTTGTCTCCCTATTCTCTGTTCGTCTCTTCTTCCGAAAGTCGCTCTTCTTTCGGTTGTTCCAAGCTATATCGTTTGTCAGGTTTCGTCTGGTCAGAGGGAAGTCTCTTATTATCTGGGATATAAACGCGCTATATACTTCATGATTGAAAAACAAGAGAAAAAATGGATCGACTTATTTTGGAAAGTTAATTTATTATATAAATATGTATGAAAGAGTCTTGGAAAAATATTAACGATGACCGTACATGTTTACACGGAATTCTCCTAGACAGTCAATAGAGCAGTTTAATTCACCAATCGATGAAAAAATTTTTTTTTCTTTTGATATTTAATGAACTCAAAATTTTGTGGCCAGTTTTTTGTCATCATGTAAAATATTATAGAATACAACATCCAAATGTTTAACGAGAAGCGCAATATTTCCAAATAGTTTGTTTTTTCTCATTATTTACCGTAATATACAGATAATATATCATAAGGGAAACTTTTTTTTATCTTAAAATTAATGATTATTATTGCGTAACATCTGCCCGCACTGCTTATGTTTCAGCTGATGTATTTCCCAAAGGAAACGATAACCCGAAGGTTCATTATTTCGTTGGAAAGCGTGAAAATTCGAAAGCAGAAATCGAGATGAGTTTCGGACTTTCGCCGAGCTTGCGGTTTCGTGATTCTCGCTACCGTCGTCTTCCTTCATCCCACGCCCCCCCTTTTTCGTGATGTCTGTCTTCTCCATGCGGGCGCGCCGAATTCAACATCGCCACAATTTAAGGAAGGAAGCAACCAGGAAAGAGAGACTGATTTCGAAGAGATTTCCCGAAGTTGGCGGAGAGAAGCTTAAAGCTCCGCAGG